GAGACCTTTGTTTTAAGGTTGAACCCTGATCTCCACAGCTTTGCCTCTGACCTGTGTGGGGTGATTCTTCAGGTTGTCTCTTTCTTGGTGGTAGAGCTCTTAAAGTGCCTGTGACATGAAATTTTAGCGATATATTTGAATGCATATTTGGAAAGATAACATTAATGATGAACAAGCAAAAATTCACAACACTGAAATGAACAGTTGTTGAGATATTCACATGAGCAGAAACAGGAAGTGATGTCGAAGGGGAATGCCTGAATGTAAACAAAGTTGCTRTAATGACCAATAATGACCAATAACAGACTGTAATGAAGAATYTTATGTTTCTGTAGATTATTTTGTGTGAAAATACAATGAAATTTTTTGACACAGGTAGTTCTGTTTTTAACTAATTAGGAGGCTTTTGAAGATGGTTGAAATTTCAAAGCAAAGGGGTGAATTTTTATGCATGTATAACTTTGTAGTTTTATAATTTTTAGAATTATTTAAAACATATTTTCCCCCATTTAACTCTATCAATCTGMAGTATTATTGCTTATAATCAAATTAAAAATTCCTTTAAATTCCAGGTTGACAGGCAACTATGTAGAAGGAATACCAATGTGGGTGAATACTTTTGCAACCCATTGTAGTTCTATATTTGTTCTGGTTTAAAAAATAATAAACAGCAGACTAAAAAGCTTATTTAAATTCATAACACACCAGATTATTTTTGGTAAGCAAGGTCTCTCCCTGCCAGAAAATAAAGTAGTGACAGAGGCTCTTATTTTTAGATATGCAAATGCTAGTTTCTGACCTTGAATTAGCCACTGCCATTGAAATTAGATGGCTCTGAGCTGCAGGCTACCATGCAACGTCTCATAACAATGCTTTCTTCTCCAAGCTAATGAAAGCTTCTTACATCACAGCTCTATGCACATCCTGAGAAACTCCTTCCAGGCTTCCTGTCGAAAGGTACCACGCTGCCTCTACAGACGCTGCGATGTGACCGAACCGAGACGCGTTCAGAAAAAGCTCAAATGCAGCACTCTGACAGAGGAAAAAAAAAATGTGTCAGCCTTATGATTATATCTTTGCACTGACTAAACRAGATGAAAATCGAACCTCATTCCTCTGTGGCTTGTCAGGGTTTTCCCCGCTGAGACGATAAATCCCCAGGTTGTACATCCCATCATCACTCCCATTTAAAGCAGCTTGTTCAAAGTATTTCACCGCGGCCTTATGGTCCTTCAGCACGATCCCATGGTACCATCCTAAACCGTTCAGGGCGTTAATTGAACCCTGAAGCAAGGAAACAGACAGTGGTATTCATAGTGAACTTTTATGGAGTAAACACTGCCATTGATTGCTTCTCGCTCACCATCGCTGCTGCTTTTTTCAGAAGCTGAAAACCTTGAGTGTAGTTCCTTTTCACTCCCTGGCCCTGAAGGAATCAACATCAATCAGCAGATCGATATGTGTCAAAACAAAGACAGCACACACACAGAAACACACGCACCACAAGTCCAGCGTTCAATTCAATCGTAAAACAGAGTCTGTGTAATTTTACACAACCTTCATTAGCAGAATGGAGTAGTCGTACATTGCCGAGGGATCCTTCATTTGCATAGCACTTCTCTCAAGCCACTTCACTGCGCTGGCTGTGTCTTTTGAGACTCCATTTTGTCCCCAGTAAAGCATCATTCCCAGGCGTCTCTAAAGTTAATAGAGTTTTTAATAGTCTGTTCTGGACACTGACGCCACCAATGACCACAAAGGAGAAATTAAACCAAAGCAAATAAATAGGCTACTTTTCTCTCTGTGCTTTGAGTCATCGTCCACAGACAACCACACACAGCTCATTTATAAATATATAATAAATCCCATGAGAAATCACAGCTGCTTTGTGCATCACTCATACCTGAGATTCCAGGTCTCCTCTTTCTGCTTGGAATTTCAAATACTGAAAAACATCACTTTCCGTGTGCATCAGCGTGTTTAAATCATCCTCATTGTTTAGATAGATGTATTCAGGGTTGTATTGCTGCAGAAAAGACAAACAGGGGATATCAAGATAAACTACTTTTCACCAAATGCTTTTTAGTTACTGACAGGATTTTCACTGTGATCACTTCAAGCCTTTAAGAAGATGTAACTCCCTCTTCAGGAGCAACATTATTATCCATTAGTTACTGTAAATCCCATATTTAATCATTACAAATCAACCCTAGAATTGATTAATACTATTTGAATGAAATTAATACAAGAGCACAGTGATTATGACTTATCACTTTTTTTATTCATATTAAAAGCTTTGTTGACAAGATTTTGCCAAAAATGCTAAAACATATCATAGAATCAATCAATCAATCAATCAATCAAGAACTTATTCAGCAAATCTGTGACACTAGGTAATGAGAAGATTCACATTAACAACTAATAAAAATACAGAGAAAGAAAGAACAAACTGAGTCATTTTTCATTTTCCATCAGTTATTAATCATTTTAGCACAGAGTCAAAGTTTATTGACAACAAGCTCAGGATTAATTAAAGGAGATGCAGAAAAAATGTATAAAAACGGTTGTGTTGTTTTGGTGTCTAGATCACTAAATGATGCTGATGAGGATGTACAAAACAGGCTATATTGTGTTGGAAAACTTTCACATCCACATGTAGGCCAAGAGAGTTTTTTTTAATTTATCTATTTTGAAAAGTAGAAGTAAAGTTTTTGCATCGAYGAGAGCTACAAAAAAAACTGATTGTGATCTGACTGAAAGTGAAATGATTAGTGGAGATGACTAGTTATATTAATGCCCTGATCAACACAAGATATTCACCGTGTTTCCATCCAAATTTAATGCAAACTTTTAAAATGTTGCAAAAAAAGAAATGTGCATCAGACGTGTTTCCATCTACTGGTTTGGAGTGAATCAACCAGGCTACACAAAGTGTAATGACATCAGACGTCAACGTTACATAAAGACACAAACTCACAGGGACACATCTCAGGACAATGGAGATATGTTATCAGGAACGTGTTGCTGCTATCAGGAAAACTGTAATTATTCTGTCATATCAGCTAGTGCTGGTGATGTTACATGCTGTCTGCAGACGTAGAAAACTTTTGACGTTACAGGAATATCCAGGAAGGTACAGACAGCAGGAGGGTCCAGCTGCAGCCTTATTGGACAGCAGGAACAGCCGATTGAGGTAAGTGTTCACTACATCAGAACTTATTCAGCAAATGTGTTTCCATCTCCCCTTTAGCACATTAAGTCTTTTTTAGAAAATTAAAAACCACCTGAAGCGAGTGTATGTAAAACCTTTTTTTGTGAAATTGAGGGTGTTTTGTGAATTTAGCAATTTTCATCCACCTTTTCTAATGTGATACATCATAATGCACATAACCACTGATGGAAACACGGCTAAGGGACATTTTCAGCTTGAATCAGTTGCCAACATTAATAACCTGATTTATTTGTGATTTTTCAGTAATTTCTAGTCATCATGAAATATATAGATTTTAAATGTTTAAATAAATATAATAATATAAAAAATGTTCACCTTTTATCCATGTCAAAGTAACAACAATATTTTAATTCTGTCCTCTCTTGGCCTCTGGACAATTCGCTTAGAGTTAATCATTTAAATTTTTGCTAAATGTGTTTTTATTTTTTTACTGAATGTTTTTGTATTTTGTTGTAGATGAATTGATTTATACAGTTTATAGTGACTTTTGCTCTGGGCTAGAGTAATACTGTATACAAACACAATTAGGATCCAGTATTCAGTGAGCTCAAAACAGGAGAAAATTAGTTATTTGTATCTTTAGAGTAAAAACATCCAAAATATACACTAATGAAAATGAACTGTGTGTCTGATTGTGGTTTAAATAGTCAGATAATCCTTTTTAAATAAAATAATAATTTTAAAATGCTTGAAGCCCCCAAATGGCTAAGAATACAAGATGTTTCTTTCTCTATTTCTTTTTATTAACTCTTGTCCTCGTTATGTTTTTGTTTAAACTTCAACAATAAAAAGCTTTCTTTCTGCAATGATTATCTGTTCAGCAGCTGCCGTGTCTCTCTAGTGTTTTCATACACCTCTCTTCATTAGATGCAGCTATTGAAATACTGTTCAAATCAACAGGAAATCAAGAGGAAGCAGCCTTTTCTCATAGCAGGCTCCTTTCAAGTCCTCTCTCGCATTCATCAAGACGGCTTTATTTTTAAATTAGGATTTAAGATCATCATTATGCATGTTTTACAGCAGCCTCTTCAACAAATACGTTATTAATCATCTTTCAGAGATGGTAACCGAAGGCCGTTGCCATGTGTACAGCATGTTTGTATAAATGTACTTGTGTGTGAATAGCCTTTTAATACAAAGTAATCACACATCTGATATAAAAATATAGTTTAATATTTTTATATTTAGACTCTGTTGCCAAACAAAGATGAGAAGATCAATACCACTTACATCTGTTTAAAAGAAGGGGCAACAGCTACTAAGGGTGCGTGTGAAAGCAACAAAATCTGCCTTTAACACCTTTTAAACAGTGCTGATCTGTTGGATTTGCTTTTTACAGAAGTAAAAGTTAAAACCAACACATCTGCAGCATTACAGGGAATAACTTTATGAGCATGCTTTACCAGTCGTAAAGCAGAGATAAAGCAGCTTCTTGGAGTAGTTTTATATAGATTTGACATAAACAACAGTAAAATCAGCTCTAAGTGTTCAGACATGAAGACACATTTTCACTTTGAGACAAACTCAAGTCATATAAAAGCAAAAATAGCAACTCGGTTTCTTTTTAATACTATCGCTATTGCAACATTTTTATGAAGCTAACATTTACTAAATTACCAGCGGGTGTTACCTTATGTTCATGTGTTTGGTAACCGTCGACACTGCTCTGCGCGCCAACATTGGAGTAGTAGCCATAAGCCATGTCCCAGTCTTTAAGAAAGCCATCGGCTCCATGTGTGTGTTTGTACCCTAAATGCATCAGGGCGAAACGGTCGTCACCGGAAGCTCCGATCAAACTATAGACGTGACCCTGAAACAGAATGCAGCTCAGGATGGTGAGTCATTAGAAGGTTAGTTTGCATTTTCTGAAGAGAGGGTTTTGTGGAGAGGTTATGAGCAGTAAGTGTCTGATCTGCGGTGGTTTCACGGCTGAGGGAAAACTGTGAAATTACCATTAAAATAATGGTCAAGAATTTCAACATGAATACCTTCGTCCATCYRTTTTCTTCCGTTTATCTGGGATCAGGTTGTGGGGGCAGCAGCCCAAACAGAGAGACCCAGACTTCCCTCTTCYCAAGCCACTTGGGCCAGCTCGTCTGGGGGAATCCCAAGGCGTTCCCAGGCCAGCTGAGAAACATAGTCCCTCCAGCGTGTCCTGGAACACCTGCCTGCAATACCACACCAGGGAGGTGTTCAGGAGTCATCCTAACCAGATGCCCAAGCCACCACAGCTGGCTCTTCTCGACGTGGAGGAGCAGCGGCTCGACTCTGAGTCCCTCCCGGATGACTGAGCTTCTTACCCTCTCTGAAGGGAGAGCCCAGACACCCTGCGGAGGAAACTCATTTCAGCCGCTTGTTGTTCTTTTGGTCACTACCCAAAACTCATGACCATAGATGAGGGTTAGAACGTAGACGGACCAGTAAATTCTTACTTCACCATGACAGACCGGTACAGCACCCGCATCACTGCAGACGCAGCACCAATCCACCTGTCAAACTCCCGCTCCATTCTTCCCTCATTCGTGAACAAGACCCCAAGATACTTGAACTCCTCCACTTGGGTCAGGACCTCCTACCCAACCCGGAGAAGGCACCCTACCCTTTTCCGGCTCAAGATCATGGTCTCGGATTTGACTGATCCTCATCTCGGCCGCTTCACACTCGGCTGCGAACCGCTCCAGTGGGAGTTGGAGATCAGCTCTCACTCCCTCCCTCATAAATACTTTGTTAATAATAATTACAGAATAATGCTGTATAATTAGTGCTGTATTCGCTGTATACTTTTTCTGAGATTAGAGTGGTTTTAGGATGGTAATAATCTTTTTTAATCTTGTCCTTGTTTGAAATAGCCTTGGATCAGCTTGACATTGCTATCAACATTGAAAACTCCATTTCTTCAAACTGAGGCGTTTCAAAGAGCTATCCAAAACAGGTCAGAGATGCCTCCTGGCCATCTTTGTGTGATTTCTGAAAGGACTAAGGCAGCATTGAAGATTACTGTCAAGGCCACCGCTGTCACGGCCTCACGCCACCAGCGACAGTACTGTGGCAGTCGACATTTGAAAAGCTTTGTGGCTTGAGGGTACGATGTAGCGATGACAGATGGTCTGTGTGACCCGACGACCACAGGGTTCAAAATGTGAGATGTCCAGCACACACTTTTTGAGTAGAGGTCTACTTCGACACAGCTGAGTTAGACCCCACTCCTCCACTGGTTTTATGATCTGTCTTCATTATTAAAAGTGTACATATTTGTGGGACATGTGTGTGTGTGTGTGTGTGTGTGGGGGGGGGGGGGGTTGACTGTTGATTTGCGAAGAACTAAAGGAAGCTTAATAAGGGACTCATTTTGTGGCCATATTAAAGAACTGTTTTGTAAAAGAGGGYACTGACTGCTCAAAATCTTCCCACAGAACTCCGTTTAAAAAGAGAATTGGACTCTTGCAGTTGGTTACACGTGATAAAGCAGTGACTAAGACCCATGAGTTTACCTGCTCCTGATTAACTGGGTGACCGAATCCAGACAGGAAGATGGTGGCCAACAGAAGAGATGCTCTGTGATTTCCAAAGCAGGAAGAAGCCTTTAATAAAGCCAGTGATTTGGTTGGGATTTTCAGCYGTGACTCTTCCACTGGGAACATTGTACTAACTGCCAGGTCAAACAAACTATTTCCAAGGTGCCTCATTCCTAAACGTCCTGCAAAAATGAAAAACTGTGTGAGAGATAACGTAAACACATAATTAGCTTTAGATTTGGTAAATCTATAACACCTGTTCTAATATTGTTTTCTTCTGTTAGTAAGAAGTGAATAAGTGTGCTGTATTTTAGTTGTGTTTCCCGATCCCATGCTTCTGCGCAGGTTTTCTTTTTGTCTTTGTTTGCCCACAGTCTTGTGAAGTTATTGGTACAAACAGCTGAAATAACATAGAAAAATGAACTTGTCAGCAGCATTTTGTACATATTATCTAGGTGTGAACTTGTAGTATTTGTGCCCTTGGTATTAGGTTTAAACAAGATTTTGCTGTGTATATTGGTTGCAACATCACATTTATATGAAATGTCAAAACAATATATCACCTTCATTGTTTAGTGACAGCAGATGACTCTCAGTGACTTCAGTCCGAAAAGCTTTTGTAAATGATTTCATTTCCCGACACTCCATATGAGCCCTGTCCAGCTCCTGTAAGGTAGACTCGGGGTGAAGGTCGTTTTGTATCTGTGTTATACAAAGCAATAGATTTGAAACAGTTATTAAAACAGTTACTAAACAGCAAAAAACAGCATTTGTTTTTAAATTACAAAACATAAACTTAACCTCTTTAGTTCCTAAACGATGGTACTTAAAGGGCCCAAAGTACCCACTGAAGCTAGACATGTATTTGCCTCCTCCAATCACAAAGTATCCGTCTGTGTCATCGTAGTGGATATTACTCTGAAATCTGTAAGATATTTAACTTTGATCAAAACACTCAGAATCATTTTGAAGCATAATGTCCTCACCACAACATTTATCTATTTGTTTTGAGTTTTTCATTATTTATTGACTGGGCAACAAATTTTTCTGTCTAGAACAAAACAGCATTTTGAACAAGTTCAATTTGTTTTCTGTGAAATGAACTCCATTACGATGGTTTTTCTTGAGGTGTTTTTTGACATTTTGGTGAAAAGAAAATCTGTTTTTGTTGGACCTGATACCTTTATCTTTGAGATCTTTGATCACATCTTAACTAACACAACACACAAACTARTAAATATTTCAAAAGCTCTTTTCAAACAGTTCATTTTCTACATTTTTGACACAAGTTTCAGTGTTTTTATTCATCAAATCATGTGATGCTTTCATGTTTCTGAGTTCTGGTTTTGAGCCATTCCTGGTTTAGCCTTAAACAGTATGAGCTCTCTTGGACAGATTGAAATATATTTCTTACAAAGTTTGGACAGATGACATTCAACCAAACGCCCTCCATTAAAGACTGATTGCTCATCAGACATAAAAAAGTAATTAAATCAATTATTATCCTTATCTAAAATTGAATAAGACAGGATCATCTACCCTGATAGCATGGCTTTATAAAAAAAAAGGCAACAATTTAAGCTGTGGTTTCACTGCAACACTGTTTTTAGAAATCAAGATATTTTTGTGGTGTATTTATTCCTCTTTTGTTTTGACTACAGAAACCAGGATGAAAACAAATTACCTGGGTTAAAAACATATTCCAGAACATGGCCCAGGTAGTAAGGTGGTGTATTTTCAAACTACCTTGAATTTTTGTGTTGATTCTACTCATGTTTTGAAGTAATCTGAAACTTTGCAGGTCAAACATCTTATCCCATTCTGGGAGCTGCCATCTGACCAGCTGCAAGATCTAATTTGTCTAAACTACCCTCAACCTCAAATCTTGGTGAAAACACAACAAATTAGTGCTGAAGGAAATATTAATTGCTCACAGTGATTAAGTTACGCGGGATAAAAGTTTGAGACAGCATTGTCAAAATGCAGCTAGTCAAGTCTGATGAACTTAAGGTTTGTCTTTCATCAACCATGGTCTGTAATCAGTCATTTCAAACAGCTGSTTTAAAAATGGTTTTCAATTGAACAATGTTTCAAACTTAGAAAGGTTTGTGTCAAAACATGAATTCGGGTTTATTATCAGTCCGTGTACTTTTTGGTCATTTAATTGTTGTTTTAAAAACATATTGAAAAACAAAATAGTGATGGTTATTCCCTTTTCATTTACTCCAAAAATGGTTCATCTTTTTAATTTTCTCAAATTGGAAGTTTAGCACTGTCATCAGGGCAACTCAACACTGTCCAGTGGCTGCTGTCACGTTTGAATCTTCMCTGACTAGATCAGGGATAGGTAACAGCCACATCTGAGGGCCACAGAATTTATTTMTTTTTTAACKTTGAAAAAAAGCAGTCAAAGCTGCYTTTTTTTTTAGAGGTARACTGTCAACAAAATTTCAGGGTMCACCCAAATTGTTTTTGTTTGCTTCAAGCATTTTGAATTCATATTTATTAAACAGAAGTAMAACTGAGCAYGAAATATGTTAAGTTACTGCACTGCATGTTGGTTTATTAAACATATGTATACACAGACAGGTTGAGCCRTGCTCAGGGCTCTGCCCCCATCATCATACCACAAAACAAACCATCATATTAGTGGCAWATAATATTAAAGAACCATCTCCCAACCCACTCTGCCACTAGAAATAAATGTCCCACCTCTCCCCGTCCTTTACCTGCTCTTCTGCACAGTTATCTCCCCCCACATTGTTTCTTTCCCCACAGCCAACAAGTCTGCCTGAACCCCCACTCCCACRTGTGMRTAATGGAATKTTTTTGTGAAAATTACAGATTTCTGAGGGTCATGAGACAGGTGCAGTAGATTTCTGAAGGAGTTKAYATGTATGAATCATGGCTATGACAACTACCCCCAATGGGAGAGAACCTAAAACCAAGCTAACTGGGCTATACCAGCATGTTGTGGGCTTTTACAGGCCACTTCATGCAATACTGGATGGTGAAACATCAGAGCCTTCTTCATCTGGGTTCTGAGAAGCTGATGACCATAAGGCCTTCTTTACTGGTAGGGCTGGGCGATAAAATGATAAACCTATTTCTTACGATAGACACGTGATTGATATCAATAGAAAATATGTTTGAGGGAACGTGTAAAGAAATGAAATATTACCGATAAACCAGGGCTAGAGATTGTGACAAAAACACAAAACAGTTACTACAGCTGTATAAGCACTATCCACCACCTTTACCCAAGCATGTGTATTTTATTCATTTGTCTTCCTCTGACTTCAGAAAATARTTGTGGTCACCAACTCACTGCACAAGTTTACAAAATATATGACTTGGGAAAATTACAAGTTACAGTCCCAAAGAACAAACATCAGCAGCTTCTGAAGCTAACAAGCGGCTAAAGGCTAAAGCCCAGCTAAGTGAGATTGGTGGCATCTAACTCAGTCACTCTTTGGTAAGCTAGCATCAACCTGGTGAGTAACATGCAGCATCAGTTTCATGTTTCACTGCTGTGCCTCACAACTAATTAATAAATAAAAAACGACATTGAGTGAAAGAAGAAAATGAGTGCAACAGTTCAAAAGGATGTTGTGGCTACAGGAGAATCATCCTTTTTTCTCCTGGTCTTTATTTCAAATAGGTAAAACAAAAAAACAAATCAATAATAATCAGTATTGACCATTATGAAATGCTTCTTAGTCATCCCCACCAGTTAATAAGTTGTTCCCACCACTTAGTAAGTCGTTCCCACCAGTTAGTAAGTTGTGCGCACCAGTTAGTAAGTCGTTCCCACCAGTTAGTAAGACGTGCGCACCAGTTAGAATCTTGTTCCCACCAGTTAGTAAGTTGTTCCCACCAGTTAGTAAGTCGTTCCCACAAGTTAGTAAGTTGTGCGCACCAATTAGTATCTCGTTCCCACCAGTTAGTAAGTCGTGCGCTCCAGTTAGAAACTTGTTCCCACCAGTTAGTAAGTCGTTTCCACCAGTTAGTCTCTCGTGTGCACCAGTTAGTAAGTCATGCGCACTAGTTGGTAAGCCGTTCCCACCAGTTAGTAAGTCGTGTGCACCAATTAGTATCTCGTTCCCACCAGT